GCACGTGATGTGTACCGACTACATGTGCTGCTTGATAATTACACGTGGTGTGTGCCAACTACATGTGCTGCTTGATAATTACACGTGATGTTTGCCTATTACATGTGCTGCGTGATAATTACCCGTGGTGTGTGCCGACTACATGTGATGCATGATAATTACACGTGATGTGTGCCTACTACATGTGCTGCTTGATAATTACGCGTGATGTGTGCCTACTACATGTGCTGCGTGATAATTCCACGTGGTGTGTGCCGACTACATATGCTGCGTGATAATTACACGTGGTGTGTACCGACTACATGTGCTGCGTGATTATTACACGTGGTGTGTGTCGACTACATATGCTGCGTGATAATTACACGTGGTGTGTACCGACTACATGTGCTGCTCATGTGCTGCGTGATAATTACACGTGATGGGTGCCGACTACATGAGCTGCGTGATAATTACACGTGATGGGTGCCGACTACATGAGCTGCGTGATAATTACACGTGATGGGTGCCGACTACATGAGCTGCGTGATAATTACACGTGATGTGTGCCGACTACATGTGCTGCGTGATAATTACACGTGATGTGTGGCGGCTAAATGTGCTGTGTTGTGTTGTTGTGCTCATTATAAGTACATGTGGGAGTGTGATAGCAAGTGCTGAGTGATAATTACGTGATTTGTGCGGACTACATGTGTTTTGTGTTGTTGTGCTGATCATAAGCACATGTGTGATTGTGACTACACGTGCTGAGTGATAATTACACGTTATGAATGCTGACTACATGTGTTTTGTGTTGTTGTGCTGTTTACGCGTGTTGGGGAAATTTACACGTAACGGTTGCTGACTGTACATTTCGATGTGTTGTGTGCTGACTACACGTGTTGTGTAATCTGTCTGATTTGCAATTAAATGTTTATTCGACTCTGGTCATAGTCTACCTTACTCACTTAGCCGGAGTATTTTATGCCCTAAACGGTTCCTCCAGCTCGTGGTATCGGTAACATCAAATTAACCGAAGAGCTCTCCTGCATGCAATTATATCGGTGGGCATTGCTTTTATCATTTGTCACTCAAGTAATGCAGGCATGTCTGTTTCATTTTTGAAGCCGTTTATATGGTCCTCCCGAGTGTCATCAAAGCCGTGTAGTTATCGCGCGGCTGACAGGCCGTCTGTCATCCCGCACAGCTCACGTAACTTATTAACCGTTTGGAGATCTCTACACACATTCATCAGTCAATCACCCCTTCCCGCCGAGGCATATCATTTACCATCTGATTGACAGGAAATGAAATCTACAAGCTGTCATATTTATTTTGTCATTGCGATCGACGACACACAAAGGCCATTTGATTAATTTGATGTTCTCCAGGGTATACATTTCACACACTATTTGTTTATAACTGACATTTATAGTTGAAGCCCTATTCAAAACACTTACAATGGCGATATTGGGAGTAAAACAGTCAATATTTGAAACGGATCAATATTTCCCCCATAACAATACAATTTGCTTGAGCATGAATATTCATCTGACCAGAACTCGATAGGTCAGACAATTTGAATACACAGAACCGTTTATCGCATTCCAGTATCAATTTAGCCTGACATTTCTGGACCGTGTTCAGTCGGTAAATATGCCGCCTGTTCAGGTTACTTTTGTACTACCTCAGCCAATAAACCTAGGGTTAATGCTTGGGTGCTTTGACAAGACAGACAAGGGGGGCAACTCCCATTTACAACAGTCTCGAAATTAGGTACTGCCGAGAACGAATGAAATTAATTCGGAACGAGAATCATCAGTTTGGTATGAATAGTAGAAGTTAAGTTAATTATTGTTTGTGTTCAAAACAAACTTAGCATTTATTGAAAATGTGGATAATATCCTCAACCTCTCCCCTTCTTCTTCTTGTCAGAATGACATAATTTATAATGTACTTAGACAGTTATCCACTGCTACCATATGCTTCAACATTTTATAGGCATGCACCCCTCCCCCGTAATGGGGGAGGAAAGAGCTCCTCCCACCCCTCCCCCGTAATGGGGGAGGAAATAGCTCCTTCCACCCCTCCCCCGTAATGGGGGAGGAAAGAGCTCCTCCCACCCCTCCCCCGTAATGGGGGAGGAAAGAGCTCCTCCCACCCCTCCCCCGTAATGGGGGAGGAAAGAGCTCCTCCCACCCCTCCCCCGTAATGGGGGAGGAAAGAGCTCCTCCCACCCCTCCCCCGTAATGGGGGAGGAAAGAGCTCCTCCCACCCCTCCCCCGTAATGGGGGAGGAAAGAGCTCCTCCCACCCCTCCCCCGTAATGGGGGAGGAAAGAGCTCCTCCCACCCCTCCCCCGTAATGGGGGAGGAAAGAGCTCCTCCCACCCCTCCCCCGTAATGGGGGAGGAAAGAGCTCCTCCCACCCCTCCCCCGTAATGGGGGAGGAAAGAGCTCCTCCCACCCCTCCCCCGTAATGGGGGAGGAAAGAGCTCCTCCCACCCCTCCCCCGTAATGGGGGAGGAAAGAGCTCCTCCCACCCCTCCCCCGTAATGGGGGAGGAAAGAGCTCCTCCCACCCCTCCCCCGTAATGGGGGAGGAAAGAGCTCCTCCCACCCCTCCCCCGTAATGGGGGAGGAAAGAGCTCCTCCCACCCCTCCCCCGTAATGGGGGAGGAAAGAGCTCCTCCCACCCCTCCCCCGTAATGGGAGAGGGAAGAGCTCCTCCCACCCCTCCCCCGTAATGGGAGAGGGAAGAACTCCTCCCACCCCTCCCCCGTAATGGGGGAGGGAAGAGCTCCTCCCACCCCTCCCCCGTAATGGGAGAGGGAAGAGCTCCTCCCACCCCTCCGTCGATATCCTTACTTCGGCAGTACTGGTCAGCTTCTGAGAAAATTGCAAAGCCACTGTTAATTTCATTTACATGTTTGACTAAAAGTGCCCAAGTGCCTAACTCAAGTGCGTCGTGAAACTTCATAAAGTGGATATACTAAATATCAGCCATAAAACTCAAGACATGTCACGTGATGGAAAATGCATAAGAGCAGCTGTTACGGTCATTGTTTTTTTTCACGCGCACGTTGTTTGCTGTGCCGTTACAGTGAGGATATGATGTACGAGGGGACGGGGTAATAAACCTCGCCCGATGACACTTGATATATTTAAGGTGATCGTTACAACGAAACCGTCTCCTCCTGCGTTAGTCTTTCTGAACCCTGGCCATAAACAGTGTGGCGAATAGCCCCTACCGTTGGCGGGGAACAATAGGGGCCTGTCGTGTCCTCTGACACGTGACAACAATGCTGACTTTAATTACAGGTGTTGCGTTTCTCCGTCGTTTACATCTGGGACATAGATTTGAAATGTGAGCGCTAGGCGTCGATAAAAAACAGCGTACAGAGATGTCTCCTCCTCCCGTAGTGCCGGGTGGTTCGCTGGCTGCTATGGACGGGTACTGATACACCACATAGGTGACGCTCTGGTCTTAAGTTAATTAACGTAGAAGCAGAACACTCAACAAAACCGCCATCAACTAGCTGTTTAGTGATGATAAATATCGTTTTACATCACAATCAATTGGTTATTATCTAGAATGTCTGATATCTCATATTTCTATTTCAGAAGCTTGAATATTACACTTTTAAGTGTCCTCTGTTGTTTTACAGTATCTGCATGGACATCTACGTATATATAGACTCACTAGCCAGTGTGCCGTAGCAGCAGTCGGAAGCCACTGTATATTCAGTTCGATTTTAGTGTCAGGTTTATTCTGTATTGCTGACAAAGCCTCGTAGGTTGTATTATACCAGAAATTCTCCGCACGACAGGTGACAGACTTGTGACCCCAACAATAAAACTGTTAATGTCATGGCATAATATATTTCAGTTTAAATAGTTGTCCCCATTTATCATGCTGGCGGATTCTCGTTAAACTCAGACCAACTCATTTGTAGAGTTTTATGTTGCGCTCTCGGGTGGCGGCCAGTCATTATGAATCTAAACAGACGCCGTGGATCTATATATCATTTTGTTTTTATAAAGAATGATTTTTTCATTTTTTTCTGACATTTTACATCTACCAATGAATAAGGAAAACATCTCGTGTGTCGTAGAAAGGTACTTAGTCACAGCCAAGTGTGGAGCTATACCGTGGCTTTATCAGCACCTTTGCATTTTATCTGATCAGAAAGGAGCTTTGTGGGATCAAATTGATACACATCATCCAGGTAGCTGTCAGGCGAATAAATCACCTGGATTATAATGGCCGATCTCGCCTCCATGAATACGGCCATTACTGAGTGGATGGGCGCATTAATATTTAATGGGGCGAAACAGATGGTTGAGGAATGATATATAATCATCAAATTTTCCTTTGATCGGATGTAAAGGACAGAAAATCGCATATTTACACGAAGACTCGTTGAGGGTCTTGTAGCGTATAATGTTGCTTCTCCTCGCTATCACTTCAATCTCTACATCTGTGAATGGTTTTAGCTGACAAATAAATCAATTTAATGATTACATCTGCTAACTATTTACTTAAGTTTCTTATTTATGTAAAGAAAAAATAAGCCTCGTCATTTACAACTGTCTTTATTTAGACACATAATTCTACTTCCGGTGTGCAACCTCGGTATCGTGTACACGATAACGGCAACCCTGAATATAAACAACCATATTATTACAAGTATTCTTATGGAATATAGGTGGACATGAGATTCTGCAGAATATTAGAGAAAAAAGAAAACGATTAAAATGAAAAATGTATATAATGTGTAAATGGCAACGTAAAAGGCGTTCGTCCTCAGGTTAAAAACGTTCCTAAGTGGTTCTACTTTGCATACTGCTGTAGGTAAATCACGAGTTTATCATCACGTTGAAAGGACAGACATTATCTGAACCATCAACATATGCAAATCAACAACAAATAAAAGGCATCAACACCAATACTAGAAAAACTGCCATCTTTAACCACACCCAACAGCACACTATAAACTTCGCATCAAGTCATGAAAACACCAAAACCAACAACGCACTAAACCCACGAATACACTAAAACCACGACCACACCAAAGTAAACAGCACACTAAAACCACGACCACACCAAAATAAACAGCACACTATAAACAACGCATCAAACCATGAAGACACCAAAACAAACAACACAACAAAAGCATCAACACAAAAACTAACATAACGCTTACTCAGCAACGCATCAAACCACCAAACAACACTAGAAATCCACTGACATCAGCACATCATAATCCTAAACACACCAAGCCCAGTAACACAAGAAGACCAGTAACACAAATAAACCTTTCGGTCAATAACAAATTAAACAATACACTACAACCTACACCGAACCAACCAAAAACACAAACACACAACAAAAACACAACAAAAACACCATATAACCAGCACAACAAAATCGTCAATAACACAATACAACCAGCACAACCAAACCATCAATAACACCATACAACCAGCACAACCAAACCATCAATAACACCATACAACCAGCAGAACCTAACTGTCAATAACACCATACAACCAGCACAACCAAACCATCAATAACACCATACAACCAGAACAACCAAACCATCAATAACACCATACAACCAGCATAACATAACCATCAATAACACCATACAACCCGCACAACATAACCATCAATAACACCATACAACTAGCACAACATAACCATCAATAACACCATACAACCAGAACAACCAAACCATCAATAACACCATACAACCAGCAGAACCAAACCGTCAATAACACCATACAACCAGCACAACATAACCATCAATAACACCATACAACCAGCACAACCAAACCGTGAGTAACACCATACAACCAGCACAACCAAACCGTCAATAACACCATATAACCAGCACAACATAACCATCAATAACAATACCAACACAAACCAAATTATGCACACAACATAAAAACAACAACAAAACACGCAAAAAATCCAAAACTATTACCACATCGAAAAAAAACCCACCAAGACGCTAAAACACGACAAACACAGCGAAACCGAAAACAGCAATACCAGAAAACCACGAACTCTCAAAAGCGACCTTTATCATCACAACAACCAAAACCTCTCAAAAGCAACCTCCACCATTACGGCAACCAATACCTCTAAAAAGCGAACTCCACCATCAAGACAACCACTACCTTAAAGGCACTCCACCATCACGACAACCACTACCACTCAAAAGTGACCTCCTCCATCACGACAACCACTACCTCACAATTGCGACAACAACCTTCACGACAACTAGAACCTCTCAAAAGCGACCTCTATCATCACGACAACAACTACTTCTCAAAAGCTACCATCACCATCACGACAACCACTACCACTCAAAAGCTACTTCACCATCACGACAACCATTACCTCTCAAAAGCCACTCCCCCATCACGAAAACCACTACCTCTCAATAACGACCTCCACCATCACGACAACCACCACCTCTCAAAAGCCACCCACACCATCACGACAACCACTACCACTCAATAACGCCCTCCACCATCACGAAAACCACTCCCTCTCAATAACGACCTCCACCATCACGAAAACCACTACCTCTCAAAAACCACTCCACCATCACGACAACCACTACCTCTCAATAACGACAAACACCATCAGGACAACCGCTACCTCTCAAAAGCCACTTCACCATCGCGGCAACCACTACCTCTCAATAACGACCTCCACCATCACGAAAACAACTACCTCTCAAAAGCCACTCCACCATCACGACAACCACTACCACTCAATAACGTCCTCCACCATCACGACAACCACTACCTATCAAAAGCCACCCACACCATCACGACAACCACTACCACTCAAAAGCTACTCCACCATCACGACAACCACCACTTCTCAAAAGCCACCCACACAATCACGACAACCACTACCTCTCAATAACGACCTCCACCATCACGAAACCACTACCTCTCAAAAGCGATCTCCACCATCATGACAACCACTACCTCTCAATAACGACCTCCACCATCACGACAGCCACTACCTCTCAATAACGACAAACACCATCACAACAACGGCTACCTCTCAAAAGTCACTACACCATCACGGCAACCACTACCTCTCAATAACGCCCTCCACCATCACGCCAGCCACTACCTCTCAAAAGCGACCTCCACCATTACGACAGCCACTCCCTCTCAAAAGCGCCCTCCACCATTACGACAGCCACTCCCTCTCAAAAGCGCCCTCCCCCATTACGACAGCCACTACCTCTCAAAAGCCACTCCACCACCCCGACAACCACTACCTCTCAATAAAGACCTCCACCATCACGACAGCCACTACCTCTCAAAAGCGACCTCCCCCATTACGACAGCCACTACCTCTCAAAAGCCACTCCACCACCCCGACAACCACTACCTCTCAAAAACGACAAACACCATCACAACAACGGCTACCTCTCAAAAGTCACTACACCATCACGACAACCACTTCCTCTCAATAACGACCTCCACCATCACGTCAGCCACTACCTCTCAAAAGCGACCTCCACCATTACGACAGCCACTCCCTCTCAAAAGCGCCCTCCACCATTACGACAGCCACTACCTCTCAAAAGCGACCTCCACCATCACGACAGCCACTACCTCTCAAAAGCGACCTCCACCATTACGACAGCCACTACCTCTCAAAAGCCACCCACCCCATCACGACAACCACCACCTCTCAATAAAGACCTCCACCATCCTTTATCATCACAACAACCAAAACCTCTCAAAAGCGACCTCCACCATCACGACAACCATTACCTCTCAAAAGCCACTCCCCCATCACGAAAACCACTACCTCTCAAAAGCGACCTCCACCATCACGACAACCACTACCACTCAAAAGCCACTCCACCATCACGGCAACCACTACCTCTCAAAAGCTACTCCACCATCACGAAAACCACTACCTCTCAAAAGCCACCCACACCATCACGACAACCACCACCTCTCAATAAAGACCTCCACCATCACGACAACCACTACCTCTCAAAAGCCACCCTCACCATCACGACAACCACTACCACTCAAAAGCTACTCCACCATCACAACAACCATTACCTCTCAAAAGCGACCTCCACCATCACGACAACCGATACCTCTCAATAACGACCTCCGCCATCACGAAAACTGCTGCCTCTCAATAACGACCTCCACCATCACGAAAACCACTACCTCTCAAAAGCCACTCCACCATCACGACAACCACTACCACTCAATAAAGACCTCCACCATCACGACAGCCACTACCTCTCAAAAGCGACCTCCACCATCACGACAGCCACTACCTCTCAAAAGCCACCCGCACTATCACGACAACTTCTACCTGTCAATGGGAACCACTACCATGAGGTCATTCTGTCAGAAGTGAAATGATAGATCCTGGTAACATGTAGCGAGGATTATTGTTTGATGTGGAAAGGTTTGTACTTTACAAGCGCAGGTGACTTGTAAATAAATCATACCACCTATGTATCACTTCGGAATCTAATGCTTAAGTAATATTTATTACCTGCTCAGTGTCACCAAGTCCAATTCTTGGTAAGCACTTTCAACATTACATCAAGTTTACGACACTCCGATCGAGTGAAATGAGACATGAGGCCACTCTGCATGGCAAGACATATATCCGCCAAGTGTTTATAGTATTTATTAATTATCATAAAACCTGCAGTGCCGTAAAAGCGTTTGGCTATAAGGAATGATTTAAGAAGATCAATGCAGACTACTTCCGTCAACGTCCCTACTGTTACCTTATTCGCCATTTTGGATCTGTGATCACAGATAAGATACGGCATCGTAAATTCTGATAATGAATACATATATTGTAGGATATGGATTAAGAGGCGTTTGGAGTACGGTGGACACGTACTTTACTATGACAGTCTGGGAAAAGGCGTCTTTTGCACGTTATCGAGCGTTTAGATATCAACATCCGGTCACGAAAGTGTCAGAGCCCTCTCCATGTTTCCTGGCAACGTGGATGATCGAATTAAAGCAACAATCTATCATGTTTAATTTTTGTACTCATCATCATTTCTTTGAATTTGATGAGCACGTTTTTGATCGTTAAATGTCAAATGTCACACTTAGCGATATCAAACGATATTGTATGAGGGCGCTGTAGACATAGAGGTAAGTTATAAATCACGGTCTCTTAGTAACGGTTAAACTGAACTTAAAGTATTTATCAAACAAATGCCGGCATGTCGTAACTCCAAAGAGTCATGTCACGACTATATAAACCAATCGTGTTAATAAATAATCGCCCTTATTCTATAGTAATAATATACAACATTTATATAGCGCCCAATATCATTTGTAAAATAACTCTAAAGCGCTTTACAACATATGGATAATAGTATTACATGTAGTTATATTTGTGAAACAAAAACAAATGCTTACAATCACTTTTATACATTAAGCAAGCAGATAATCATCGCAATATGCACATAAATGAATAAATAAAGGGTGGTAATTACATGACGTCTTTACAAAGAGCCTAAACTGCAGACGTGAAGAGGTGAGCTTTTATGTTCCTCTAATAGCAGATGGTAAGCTATTCCACAACGTAGCCGAAACCCTCCCAAAGCACCGGTTTTCATAGGTCACAGTACTCGGTTTTGGGACATACAACAATGATTCTGACTCCAACTGCAGTGATTGCGTCGGCTGATACAGGGAAGCTGTTCCATACAGTGCCTTGTATGTGTGTACCAAAACTTTGTACTGCGACCTGTATCGTACAGGTAACCAGTACAATGCATATAGCACAGGTGTGATGTGCTCTCTCTTTAGATAACGACTAACCAGCCGTGCTGCAATGTTCTGGACCGCCTGCAGACGACTAGTTAGTTTGTCAGAAATCCAACCGAGAGGTAATAAGTGAATGCACCAAAATCTTGCATGCATCTGCAGTTATAAATTGCCGGATACAGCCGATGTTCCTGATCTGGTAGTAACAGGATTTGGCAATAGCGTTCACTTGTTTAGTATACCTCTAGGTTTTTAACAGCTGGGACAGTCTCAATAGAGCCATTGCTTGCTGACACTTCGGGGAAAAGACGATTAGTTCCGTTTTTTCCTGATAAAGCTTTAGCATGTTGGCGTTCAATCTTCCAGATTTTCTGAAATTGTATCCCAACTATCCTGTGGTTTGATGACCATGTAAATTCGAGTGTCATCATCATAGCAATGATAGCGAAGGCTTTGGCGACTGCTAATCTCTCCGATTGGTTTGAAGTACAGACAAACATGTTGGTGGTCCTAACACCGACCCTTAAGGAACCCCGAAACCCAGTACTTTGTCATGTGATGTGTTAGATCCGATGGCAACACACTGTCGTCGTTCACTCATATAAGACTGTACTCCATAAGTGTAATCCAGACGTTCTTGTTATCAAATGTAGATATTCTATAAGACCTATTTAAACGACTACAGAAAGAAACTTATGTGTTTCTTATGAAGGGTCAAGACAAAAGAGTGTTTTTTTTTAGGGGAAACAAATTGTAATTACTGATTGAAGGATATTCTTGTTATAAAGTAACAAATAATAAGTTTATCTTCATTTTAGGACAATATTTAAAAGTTTAATTGATTGAAAGTTAAAACTCACCATACTTTGGCTTACACCTTAGGGTTACCCCTGGTAGACTGTTTATAGAGAGCCGGAATACCAGTAATAGCGGGTCTGAAGCATGATGTTAGTCCTGACTTTGTTTATGTACTCTCTGACATTGATGTGACGTTTATCTTAAACAACGTTGTTGCAAAGTGATTTTCCTACTTAAATACATTATAAAGAGCAACATAAAATCTCCCGTCACATAGCTCTTAGTTGTATAACAGATACCCTTTCTTCTTGTTATATCGTTATATACATTACATCAAAATGTCTTCTTTGAAGGCTAGGAGCGTAGTACAAATAATGGTCTTTGACATTTCAATTTAAAATAGCGGCTGGGCCTGTCGTTATGTACGACAGATTCGAGCTAACCTCTTTGGGCGCTATTCTTTGAACTGCAATTTAATGTTCGACTCGCAGAGTTTCTAATGAAGGCTGGGTTATAACTCTTTCTTAAATAAAATGGAAAGATCTTAACAGTTGAGTATAAATCTCGAGAAGTGGTTACCACTCGAGTATGATACGGGTTTAGAACCTTGTTTTAAATTGTAAAATATGGGTCCTGTTTGACCGGCAGACATACCGCTACAAAGGCTGTTAGTCGTGATTTATGGTCACTCCAAGTCCAGCTCCCACCATATTCATATCGGTATTAATTGAATATGTGCTGTTAAAACTGATTTATACATGTTTGCTATGACAAGGTACCATTGTGCCGGGGAGTTCTCTAGAAAAACAGGCTGCCATCGCTTGGAAACTTACTAGATAGGGAGACAGAAGACGTGTTGCCGGCATAGCTTGGGAAATGTACTCCTCGGAACATATAATTCAGACATGCTTTAAATTCATGTAATAGCGAAGAATGGAATGATATATTAAAGAAATTATAATGTTTTATTTCTGAATAGATAGTTTTATTCCTTTTGGAATTTAATTAAGACATTCGAGAATAAATACACGCCTTGAAGCGCACATCTAGTACGATAAATATGTCTGAAAGCACGGCGGTTACGGCATTGTGGGATTTGTTTGGGATTTTATTCAAAAACATCACCTTTTATCAGTAGCACACGAATATTAAACAAGCAGATGGGATAGAACGAAAGTGTTTTCTCCGAAGTGTTTATAGAATTTCACGTTTTCTTTACCACATCCGTTTAGTTTAATTCTATCTTTTAGTGTAGAGAGTTTTTATTTAAGGGTTAGTTTATGTTTCAGTTTAGGTAGTTTTTAAATTTGTTTACATTGATTTTTATTGTGATATTTTTGGTTAATTAAAGCAATTTCCATAAGAAAGCTGCTTCAGCAGTTGCGTCCCTTGGTCTGACGGACATATGCTGCTATAAAGTGCTCATAAGCCTGTCTACTGCCTCAATAACGCCTCCTCGTGCACTCATGTTGTTTACACGGGTAAGATGTCAGCAAGAAACCATAGCATAAGTTTCAGTGAAGGTTTGACCGTTTCTCACTGTGAGCCGGTTTTACTAAGTTCCGAAGGTTTGGCCATTTCAGTGTGAATCGGTTTCTCTAAGTTCGTACATTGGAAACATAACACCAGTGACCTCAACGAATTATTAATCGACAAAGAAGTATAAAAAGATCAATGAGTGCTAATAGACAAAGACTTGTTTTTTAGAGACTTACTAATATATAAGCCCCAACACTTCAATCAAATAATTAGTTTAAAGTTAAATTAATTAAAAATGTTTCATCAAACTGTTCAACCTGATAAAGATTTGAATGTTAAAATGGAAACTCTATCCAAAGTATGGTTAGACAATAAACAGGAGTAAATCTCTCGGGGTAAGGCTGGAGTTTCTCGGGGTAAGGCTGGAGTTTCTCGGGGTAAGGCTGGAGTTTCTCGGGGTAAGGCTGGAGTTCAGAGAGTTGGATCCTTCATACTGCTACACATATGTTTCCATGGTGAAAGATTCTGTAAAAATGATACTACAACGAGTTGGGTAGCTAAGTAGGAACAGGCAACAAACTGGACCGGAAGATGTTTGAAAAAGACAGAGCCTGGTACTATACACATTTTGTTGATTAAAAGTATCATTAATGCCGTATATTATTAACTATAGGTTTGTTCTGTCAGATCTACAACTGTTGGTAAACAGGTACAGCCATTGTACAGGATGAGGAGGTGACGAACAACCTCACGCGCTACCGGTAGTGTTGTGATCACGTCAACCCGTATAATCAGCTAACATGACAGATTCAATATACAACCTATTTATAATGATGTCTAATGCCACATCTAGTAGGATCCGAAGTGACAAAATCACAAAATTAAAGTAATGGGAAAATAAATTACTTCAAATTGTCACGTTCAAACAACTGTAATAAATTATCTCACATCTTAAGTGATATTTTTTTCAATTCCCTTAAAAATGTCGTTTCATCATTATTTTCCATATTAAAAGTTGCATGCGGCTTGGGATTTTTTAAAGCAAAAACCCAAGACGTTTGAATGTGATTGATTCGCGCTATCCGGCCCTAGTCGCTGTAACAGCGGTGTTCGCCAGTGTTGTACATGCGGCATGGGGTGACAAATAGTAAGGCGCATGACAAATAACAAGCTTCGCAAAAACGAAAATTAATCTTTGCACTCAAACTAGGGCCTGCATTGTAGAAATCTGACATGATACATTTGTCAGGCGTGCTGGCTTAATAACCTTTATGTCTTTTAAGGTTTGAAATTCGAAACATTTATAAATCATTTGGCACATAAAATCGATTTAGGAAG